TTGGTTCACTCGGGGAATCTTACTTTTTGAAAATACCCTGATTTCGTTTCAATCAGGTTTTGACAGAAAACTTGAGTAAGGGTTCCACTGAGATTTCAAAGACATCTATCTCTCACTTTCAATTTTCATGTGACATTGAGATTCTCACCTTTGAGCAGCAGGCAGTTGATCTCTCTCCAGAACCGAGATGGGAACCTGCCCTGCTTGACGCCGGTGTGAGGAGGGGGCGCTCCAGGCTTCGCCCCTACATCAATTCCTCCCTGGGCTCCACATCAGGAGGGCTCCGCAAGCACATCCAGGGAAGGCTGATCGATCCTTGACTCTTGGCGCATGTCCACTGGAAGAGTAAGTGTTCTGCACAGTAGTTTAGGCTCGCCCGCTACAGTTCCAATACATTTGGAAAGCAGGGCGTCCCTCACTCCGCCTCAGTCTTTGCACAGGCACTAAATTAGGCTGATGTGCTGTGGTTGCAGAACACACATGGGTCTGCAGTCAAACAATGCTGTGATTTTTCAGCAATCGATTTTACTTCTTTGAATCTCAGTTCCCTAATTTTCAAATCAGAGGTGACAGGAGGCATCTTACAGGACTGCTGCGAGATCTCCGCTAAGGCAGGTTTAGAAGGAACTCGGCGCAGCAGCTGACACACAGCAGGTGCTCCGTCGGCGGTCATCGCTCGCTACATTTTCCGCTCTTTTCTTTCACCCACAGGGATCATCCTTATCAGTGCCACGGAAACAGGAGGCCGCTGAGAGGCACTGGGGCTGGGGCACTCTCGTTTTCAGTTTACTCAGCCTTTTCTGCTCCGTAGGCCGATTATCCATTCACTTTGGACTTTAATTCTCAGGGGTCTATCATCTTGGAGACATTCAAGCTAGAAAGAACTGTGGTGTGAAGCGGTCAAATCAAAGTGAAGGAGTTGGATAAGAATAAGGATGCTGTTTCTCTAACGTGGCCTTGGGACAGGCAGAGCTGAGTGAGGAAAAGGAATGAAGAGGTCCCTCCCACCGCGCATGGTGCTGACTCCAGGCTACAAGGTGGAAGGCAAGTTGAGGGTCAGGGGTCAGGTCCATCTGTCCTGACGGGGCCCCCTGAGATCATCCGTACAACATGAGGGCTGATTAGCATTTTGGGGGAGGGGGTGGAGGAGTCCTCTGGTGAGCAGGTCAAGCTGGGATCAGGACAGTAAGAAGATCTCTAACTGTACCCTTCTCAGAAGCATCCAAATGAAAATCCTTAGGAAACATCCCCGGTGGCTCGGTGGTAAAGAATCTGCCCATAATGCAGGAGAAACGTGTTCGATCCCTGGGTCAGGAAGATCCCCTAGAGGAGGAAATGGCAGACTACTCCAGTATCCTTGCCTGGAAAATGCCATGGACGGAGGAGCCTGGCGGGCTACAGTCCACGGGGCTGCAAGGGGTCAGCAGACTGAGCACAAGCAAACACAAAAGGAAGCTAAGAGCTGGGACTGGGGAGGGAGCTGAGAGCCAAGCATAAACAGGGAAAACACTGAAGACGAAAAACAGGGATCATGTAATTTATTCCAATCTGGGTGCAACCTGAGAAACTAGATTCCTTTTTCCAAACCAAAAAACAAGTCACCTGCTTTCTGTTTATGTTACTTACTGTATCGCTGATGCCGGCAGAGACACCTTCATTGTGGCCACGAAGTGAACCCCTTCAGAAGATGCTCGTCTTCTGCTCCTCCACAGAGTGTGCTTAGCTGAAAATCTGCTGGGTAACTCCAATAATTCAGACACAATCCTAGGTGCAACTTCCTCTCCCTTCTAGGAGAGACAAAAGCGATGCGTGACAGGCAAGGACAAACCACGTCCTTCCAGTCCTCATCAGAGATGCCACAAAGACACACACCCAGAGAGTCAACCAGCCTGGCACCACGGCCTTTATCTCTGAACAAAATCATGATGAAAGGCACGAGCTACAGACCCACTTCCTGGATTTGAAACTGGCTATGGCCTTTCCTCACTGTTCGGCACTGAGACAGTGACGACCTGTCCGCACCTGAGTTAATGGTTCCACGTGAACACGAGTGAGCCCACGTGTATACACCTGTCTGGCACACACTAGCAGTCCCCAGTGTCAGCTGCTGCTCTTACCTATTCAAGCCTGAAAAACCCAGGTCAGGGTCTCTTTCATGCAGCCATTTGCCTGTGCCCTGTGATATTCTGAATTCCCACCCTGTCACCAGCTATGTGCCCTGGGGAAAGTTATTGAATCCCTCCGAGCCTCAGTTTCCCTCCTGATAAACTGGGTACAATTACAACTACTTTCAGAAATCATTGTGAGGATTAAATATTAATGTTTGTAAAGTGCTTCTCTGTTGATGGGAATGTAAATTGGTGCAGCCGTTATGGAAACAGTATAGATGTTCCTTAAAAACTAAAAATAGAACTACCATAGGATCCAGCAATCTCACTCCTGAGCACACATCCAGAAAAGATGAAAACTCTAATTTGAAAGAACACATGCACACACAGACATGCACATGCATCCCAATGTTCACTGCAACATTATTTACAATAGCCAAGACATGGAAACCATCTAGCTGCCCATCAGCAGACAACTGGTTTATATCTACACACTGGAATATTACTCAGCCATAAAAAAGTTGCCATTTGCAGCAGTGTGGATGGACCTAGAGAATAACATACTGAGTGAAGTAACCAGACAGAGATAAATATTATATGCTATCGCTTACACATAAAAACTGAAAATAATACAAACAAAGCTATACACAAAACAGAAACAGAGTCACACAGAAAACGAACATATGGTTACCAAAGGGAAAGTGGTGAGAAGGATGATAAATGAGGATATGGGATTAACATACACACATACTACATATAAAGTAAGCAATAAGGATCTACCATCTAGTGCAGGGAACTATATTCAACATCTTATAATAACCGACAATGGAAAATAATCTGAAAAATAATATGTGTATTGTACATCACTGACCTTTGCTGTGTACCTGAAACTAACCAACATTGCATATCAACCATACTTCAACTTTAGAAAAGTGCTCCACACATGTAAACATATTAGTATGTAGTAGCTTTCATTTTATCATTTGTCAAGAGAGGGATAACCTCCGGCCCTGTCTAGTCTATCCCATTGACTGTTGTGAGAAGAATGTATTGCGAGGAGAGTGTACTGGAAACAGCAGTGTAAAGTACTATGTAAATGTTCTGGCTTCCAGCCCCTAGGCAATCGATGGTACAGACTGCGATAGTTCTGCAGACTCAGGAAGCTAAATACCAGGAGGGTGTAGTCCATTATGCAGTTGTAAACACATCGCTGCCTTCACCATTACGAAACTCCGGACCGATCAATGTAAACAAGTCCACCTGAGGCTTGTTTGACCACAGCACTTTTTAATTTACTGAACACTGCTTTCCAGGTATTAATTTTAAAGCCACCAGTATAGGCTGGTAATTAATAATTTAAGGTTATTACATTAAAATGGATAGGTTTTTTTTGGAGAGTTCTTTATGGCTTGGGTTTTCTTCTATTTTAATTTAGTAGATGATATGTTGGTTCGCACTGTGGCATGTAATGATTTTCTGCATTTTGACACAAAGAAGATGAGCTTGAAGTACTCCTGGGCTTGGGTATAAAAATAAGGGGTCCACCCCCCTCAATTCCTGAGGCAAGGAATCTGACCTCGAAAGACATATTTATCTTTCACAAATGGCAAATATAAGGGAATTCTTTCTGAATTATTTTACATAGGGTTCCCAGAATTTAAGTTTTATCCTACTGAACTTGAGAAACATTGCTTTTTTTCCTACAAAGCTATTGCAGTTCACCAAATAATGTAGGCTAGGTTACTAGACAGCACACCTCTCCACAATGGAAATCCTTGAAGAACACGTCCTTTTATTTGTTTTTAACTGCAACAAATACTAAAAGAGTTAAATGTCTGATGGAAACATATGTAAAGCCAGATATACAAGTTTGTTTAGACTTCCATGAAATCTTTTTTCCTCCTAGCCAGTTTTGTTCGCTTTTTGTTTCTGATGTGGACCATTTTTAAAGTCTTTATTGAATTTGTTACAATATTGCTTCTGCTTTATGTTTTGGTTTTTTGACTCCAAGGCATGTGGCATCTTAGTTCCCCAACCAGGAATCAAACTCACACCCCCTGAAGTGGAAGCATGGAGTCTTAACCACTGGACTGCCAGGGAAGTCCTCAAACAGACTTTTAAGCAACAAGGTATGTAACTGATATGACTGCATGTTCCAGGGTTGACTGGAGATGAGCTGGCAGTAAGCAGAGCTTTGGGGAGATCACTAGGTTAGATAAGGAAAGCATTTATGTAGTCGAGGACAAAGCAATGACGTTGGAAATTAAGAGAAGGGACAGAATTTGGGAAATGCTAAAGTGACTGTGAAAAGAATATTGATGGGGGTAGGGAGAAAGGGAAGTGGTGAAGTTCAGGTTTTAGCTTAAGACAAGGTACAAACCGTGCAGCAGGCATCTGGAGACACAAAGGGAGAGACGGGTTTAAGACAAGCCGCGGTTCAGCTGCTAAGTCATGTCTGTCTCTTACTGATCGCATGGGTTGTAGCCTGCCAGGCTCCTCTGTGCATGGGATTTCCCAGGCAAAAACACTGGAGTGGGTTATATTTCCTTCTCCATGTTTTGGTTTTTTAGCTGTGAGGCATGTGGGATCTTAGCTCCCCCACCAGGGATTGAACTCACACCTCCAGCAATGGAGGGTGACGACTTAACCACCAAATTGCGGGGAAGTGCCACCTCCTAGTCAGTTTTGACCCCTCTCACTGTTACCTCTTCTCCACTCGACCTGGAGACCATTGTAGCCTGAAATGTGCTTTTGAATATTTTGGTTTTCCATCAAAATGCTTACAGCTCAATAGTACCATGCACATAACTGGGGATCCATACATGGTTTTTGAATGAATTTATTTAGTCTTTCAAACTGTGTCTTTTGTAGTGAAATTTCAGATGAACACTTCTAATCAGGAGTTGTTTGGTTCGCCGGAATAATAAGATTGGAGGGTGTCTTCTTTCTTTCTGGCAGAATAAAATCTGCTTGTCCCGGCGAGAGCTTTGGAAACGTGTAATTGATGTATTTTTGAAATGCTGCCCTGGTTTCCTGTAACTCTTCCTCCAGGAAGTCTTTCCAGTTCGTCATAATCCCCAGCTGCTTCGCGATGGACAGCAGCTCCCCGTGAGTGTTCACCAGCTTGTCCATCACATTTCCGAGTTTGGCCTGATGTGTTTTCTCTGCTTCTTGAAGCACTTCCTGAACCTCCTCTTGCTTCTGCCTCTGAGTCATGCAGTAGTAGAGATTGATTTCATGCTGTTTCTCCCTTACCAGCTGGTTCACACTCTTCTTCTGATCCTGCACAACCGTGACACCTGTGCTCATAAGTTCCTCCACGGCCTTCCTACCAAAAAGAGTAAGAGCTGAATGTGAGCAGTTAGATGGATCACCCACTAAAAACCAAAAGATTGTGTCTTTCACCACAGATGGAGAAGACAAGACTGCATGGTTTACATGACTCACAGTCTGAGACAGGCTGGTCAAGATGAGCTTTTGGTTAGATGTTAACAATCAAAAAGTACTTTTCAGAGCAGGGAAGGAACGCATGGATTTCCTTGCTGTGGGCTAGAGTGAAGCCACCAATCTACTGACTAATGCTAATTTAGGGAGTCCACCAAGGCCAGAAAATATGAATGCAGAGTTCTATAAAGATGAGGAAATAAGGTCAGAGCTCCAAACCCCTAGAGAAAGTATTTCTATATATCAACACAGCTACTCACCTTTAGCTAGAGAGCAGGAAACTATCTCACAAAGTGAGTTTAGCCTTAATTTTGATTCTATCTGAGCAATATTCTATGACAGCCAAACTTTTTGGTCTCAAGGTCACTTTCACTCTTAAAATGACCAAGAAACCCAAGGAGCCTTTGTTTATATATATTGTTTATATCTATTGACCCTAACAGTTAAAAAATTAAAGTCAGACATTTCACAAGCATTATAAATTCATGTGAAATATTGGATAAATCCATTAAATGTTAAAATAAAAAGCTTACCTTGTATGAAAAATATTTGTTTGTAAATCAAAAATCTTTTGATGGGAAAAGTGGCATCATTTTACATTTCTGTAAAATCCTTTATTGTCTGGCTTAATAGGAGAAAAGCTAGATTTTCATTTTGCTTCAATCTGTTGAGGTATCATCACACATCATAAAACCCTGGAAAATGCCACTATATACTCCTGAGATGGAGTGAAAAGACAAATCATGTCTTAATATTATTAAGAAAGTAGCTTTAACCTTAGTGTCCTACTAGAGGATCTGGGACCATACTTTGAGAACCATTACTGAACAAATTCATAGGCCTCTGATTATAATGTATATAAAGGAAATCAACCTTGAATATTCATTGGAAGGACTGAGGCTGAAGATGAAGCTCCAATACTTTGGCCACCTGATGTGAAGAACTGACTCATTGGAAAAGACCCTGATGTTAGAAAAGATTGAGGTCAGGAGGAGAAGGGGACGACAGAGGGTGAGATGGTTGGATGGCATCACTGACTCAATGGACATGAGTTTGGGCAAGCTCTGTTAGACAGTGAAGGACAGGGAAGCCAGGTATGCTGCAATCCATGGGGTCTCAAAGAGTTGGACGCGCCTGAGCAACTGAACAAGAACAAGAGATCCATAGCGGAATTCTGAACAGTGGGCTTCCTTAGCGGCTCAGCTGGTAAAGAACCCGCCTGCAATGTGGGAGACCTGGGTTTGATCCCTGGGTTGGGAAGATCCCCTGGAGAAGGGAAGGGAGTGGCTACCCATTCCAGTATTCTGGCCTGGAGAATTCCATGGACTAGTCCATGGGGTTGCAATGAGTTGGACACGACTGAGTGACTTTCACATCTACTCCACATGTGAAATGCTCTAAAGAATGCTGGAATCGAGCAAAGTCTCTAAATGAGATCTGGTGTGCTGCAGAGTGGGTTCAGCTGACTGGAACAAATCTGAACCTTTGACAATTATTTGAAGAATGCCCACCATGTGCCAGGCTCTCTTATAGGCCCGAGGGACACATCAAAGACCAAAATTGGACATTCTAGGTGGATATGCTTACCTAACAGGCACGGCAGGTCCCTAGTCTCAGTCAACTGGTTCAGCGAAAGATGGCCATTGAAAGTCTTCCACCTGTGAACTTCATGGAGGAAGGGGCCAAAGGTGGACGAGAGTGAAGGAGGGAAGGAGGGAGCAGGAGGCTCAGGGGAGTGTGAGGAGAGACCCAGACGCTCCTTTCGGACGGGCAGAGCTCCTGAGATGGAGCGGAGGAAGCAGAGGGAGAGGAGAACCACCCTCCACTGCTTTGGACAACTCACTCAGGAATTACTGTCTTCTCTGACTTTCTCCCCAAATCCTCTATTTTCTTCCTCCTCTACCTCACAATGACTTACAGCCTAGGCAGGTAGGGAACCACTGAAATAGCCAAGGCCACAGCCCTCATTCCTATTTATCTGTACTTCCTATAGGATTTTACCTTTGGCTCTCTTCTAAACAGTTCTAACAAGGAAATTTTGCCCATTAATTATATACAAATAGATACGTTAACTTAAGCAGTGAAGCAAGAGACAAGTCCTAGACCAGGAAGCCAAACACAGAGGTTTCAGTCTGGGTCCTGCTGCGTCAGCTGCATGAGCTTGGGCAGGTCGCTGAGCACCCGGAAACAGGTTTGGAACCTCTGGATCCCCAAAATCACTAGGGCTCCCGAGTGCTGACCTGTTAAAACTGGCCAAACCCACCAAATGTTCACTACATATATAAAATGGTTACTTTGGTATTTTTCACATATATATTAATAAGTGTATATGTGATCTGATTTATGTGAAAGTTATTTCAAATTATGCACATATTTAAGGCTGTTCAGTTCAGTTCAGTTGCTCAGTCATGAATGACTCTTTGTGACTCCCTGGACCACAGCATGCCAGGCCTCCCTGTCCATCATCAATTCCTGGAGTCCACCCAAACCCATGTCCATTGAGTCAGTGATGCCATCCAACCATCTCATCCTCTGTTGTCCCCTTCTCCTCCTGCCTTCAATCTTTCCCAGCATCAGGGTCTTTTCAAATGAGTCAGCTCTTTGCATCAGGTGGCCAAAGTATTGGAGTTTCGACTTCAACATCAGTCCTTCCAATGAACACCCAGGACTGGTCTCCTTTAGGATGGACTGGTTGGATCTCCTTGCAGTCCAAGGGACTCTCAAGAGTCTTCTCCAACACCACAGTTCAAAAGCATCAATTCTCCGGTGCTCAGCTTTCTTTATAATCCAACTCTCACATCCATACATGACCACTGGAAAAACCATAGCCTTGACCAGACGGACCTTTGTTGGTAAAGGTCTCTGCTTTTTAATATGCTATCTAGGTTGGTCATAGCTTTTCTTCCAAAGAGTAAGCATATTTTAATTTCATGGCTGCAATCACCATCTGCAGTGATTTTGGAGTAAATACATCAAAAGAGCAAGGAAGGATACAGAACGACATTCTTTTAAATGATTGTTTCTGGGAGACAGTGGGCAGGAAGCAGGGAGTCATGACTTAGTAAATTTTGCTCTCTCTGTATTTCTAGAAGCTCAACTTTGTTTATAGCATTATGACTTGTGTAAAAAGAAACAGGCCAAAAGCAACACATCCACAGTAGTGTATCATGTGGGCTAGAGGATGTGAAGACTGACTGTTAAGTGTTTGTGGAAAAACATTTCTTGATTCCTTGCCTCCTCTAAAATTGGAGATATGGAATGAAAAGCACAATTTTTAGGGCAGTAGTTACCGTGCAAGATAGGAGGAGAGGAACAAATGTGGTTGAGGAAGAACGTGGGACTTTCCACTCCCCTCAAATGGCTAGTAGGCCTTTGAGTATTCATGTTATTTTTTGTTGTTGCTGTTGTTTTTTATTTTATTTTTAAGGCGTATTATTTTTCTTTACATCACACACACACACACACACACACACTCTACAATATACTCCATACTGTCCCCCATGTTTGATATATTCTGTAGTAAAAATGTAAAAACACAAAACTCAGGAAGTATCTATGGCATCCACCCCATCCTCTTTTCCCAGTTGACTCTGACAGGGGGCACGCTGATTTTCTGACAGGGGGTACACTGATTTTCTGACAGGGGGCACGCTGATTTTCCGACAGGGGGCACGCTGACTTTCCGACAGGGGGACCACGGATTTGCAGGGTGCTCCCTGGAGTACCTTCTCTGAGCCTGGACCTCTTCCTGGGCCACGAGCCGCTCCTGCTCTCGGGCTTCCTGCACGGCCCGGACCTTCTCGCGGTGGCACTCCATCATGATCCTCTGGATCCTGTGGATCATGCGCTGCTCAGCAGCCAAGTGTTCTCGCTGCAGTTCTTCCTCCAGGTTTTTATGCAACTGCATCTCGGTCCTAGCTGCCATTTCCTTAAGCAACAGGAAAACCAGGTTTAGATGCTATAGCTTTGAAGTTTAAAAATGAACACTAAGAGGTTATTCAGATCGTAATTTATCTGCCTGATGGAATATACACCGATTAAGCCTGATGGTTTAAAAGTGTATAAAAATAAGAGGCAGATCCACAGCTACAGAGATCAAACGAATACGTGGCCAGTGGCGAGAGGTAAGGCGGAAGGGGTGATATAAGGATGGGAGAAGAGGAGGGTTTTTATGGGGTTGTATGAAACCATGTGTCTGAAACTTTTGAAAATTGTAAAGCACCATAGAATTTAAAGAATTTTTCATTCAATATAAAAGGAATTTTTAGAAAAGTGAAGGAATACAGAAAAGTAAAATTTTTAAAAATGGGGGGGGTTGGGAGGGAGGCCTGAGAGGGAGGAGATATATAAATACACACACACACATATATATACACACACATATATAGTTATGACTGAATTTGCATTGTTGCATGGCAGAAACCAACACAATATTGTAAAGCAGTTATCCTCCAATTAAAAAGAAAAACTGAAATGGTGTATCTGCACCACAGAACATTGTTAATATACAGCTACTGAAAAGGAAAGAAAAGGAGTATATGCTATATGGGGAACTTCGATGATGCTAGGTAAAACCAGAAGTGTACAAACTACATAGTGTAAGTATGTATAGTGTAGTTGTTGTTTAGATGCTAACTCACATCTGCCTGTTTTGCAACCCCATGGACTGCAGCCCACCAGGCTCCTCTCCCATGGGATTTCCCAGGCAAGAATACTAGAGTGGGTTGCCATTTCCTCCACCAGGGGAATCTTCCCAACCCAGGGATCAAACCCATGCCTCCTGCATTGGCAGGCGGATTCTTTCTCACGGAGCCACCAGGGAAGCCCAAGTATACACAGATGCTATTGAAAAGGAATGTGCAAAACGAAAAGTAATTGAGTCATGGTCATTTTTTGATTGTTCAAATATTCTATAGCATCCTATTATCTTTATCCATGACTAGAAATACAGACTACAATTCTGCTTTAGGAAGTCAGCCCTGGAAAGTGGCAGAAATAATGACCAGGAGAGGAGACACTTGTCAAACCAGGACTAGGGACTTCCCTGGCGATCCAGTGGTTAAGACTCCATGCTTCCAATGAAGGAGGTGCAGATGCAATCCTTGGTCCAGGAATAAGATCCCACATGCTGTGCAGCATGGCCAAAGATAAAAAAACAAGACAGGACTTAAGGGAAACCCTGTATCCCTGGAAATGCCCAATGAAGGCATGGTATGCCAGGCACAGTGCTGGGCCCACTGCTCCAAGCAGGAAGAGGCTAGAATTCCATCCTTGGGACTCACTGCCTACTGGAGGAGACCCAAACGCCATACTGTAACCACTGTTCTAAAAGAAATACATGCCAGAAAGGAGGGGCAGTTAATTCTCTCCAGTTGTTTCAAAACTTTCATTTAAAGGGAAATGTGTAACTCTATTTTAGGGATAAGAAAGATCATACAGAAACTAAGATGTTCAACATTCTGTAATAACCTAAACTGGAAAAGAATTTGAAAAACAATAGATCTGTGTGTCAATATATGTATAAGTGAATCAGTTTGCAGTACATCTGAAACGGATACAACATTGCTAATCAATGATGCTACAACATAAAATAAAAAATGTTTTAAAATGTAAAAACAGAACAAACAAAAAAGAAATTAAGTTACTTCACAGAGTGAGTCATTGGAAGAACTAGGACCAGAAAGCAGGATTCTCACACACCAGTCTCTCACTTCATTACACACCAGTCTCTCACTTCATTGCTGGCTGTGATGCTGGGGTCTTTCCAGAGATGCATGGGTTTGCTCTCATCCCAGAAGCTCAGTCCAGTCTTATCAGACAGTACAGTAAGTTTCCTCCCTCCCTTCGAGCCCCTCCCCACCTCCCAGAGACAATTTCTGAGCAGAGGATGGAAGGTTCTGCTATGGGTAATAAGTCTAAGTCTCTATCTTATAGTCAGAGTCTGCTGTTGAACATCTTAGGGGATATTTTAACTGCTTAGGTATCATTTCTGGGTTTTCAAGTACATTTTCAGCAATTGAGACTGCCGAATGGTTGCGCCTTGTAAAGATGATGTATTACCGTAAGACATTTCTATTTGAATCATAGAACTTAAAAAAGATAACTCAGCCCTTTATTTTGACCGGGTTCTGAATTTAATTCAGAGAATGACATCCCCTTCCTCTTTCATGCAATGATTTAGTGAAACCGAAATCATTTTACTGTATCACATAGCATGTCCAATAGCTATTTAAAGCTACAGAAAATAATTCAACAACTGACTGGCAGTGTTCCTATTCAACAGAAAGCCTTCCAGCCAAATTACTTTTATTGAAGTGCATTTTGAGCGAATGGGCCTCTATTGTGAGATAAGAGCCTCGCCAGCTCCATCATCCTGACTGTGCAGACGTGTGACAGACCTTCCTTCACGCCACCGTGTCTCCCTCAGGGGAAGTCTCTCTCAAGTATCACAGGCAGGAAGATCTTGGGCCTTGATCTGTCTTTAGCTGGGGGACATGGTGATTTGTAGCACTGTCCCCTTTGAACTGTCAGAAAGCTCAAAGGCCCAGCTGTGGTAACAGCACTGGACCTCACGGCTACTCACATTTCTGAGTCTTGGATTCACACCTGACTTCGTATTTCCTCTCCTCATTTCCCCTTAGCTTCCATTTTATTATTTACTTTTTAATATTATTGTATTTGGATAAGAAAATATTAGCACTTTTTCAGAACCCTATCTGTCCATTGGACAAGACCTGGAACTTTGGTTTCACAGCAATTCACCTAAAACTTCTCCCACATTCTCGGCATCACAGAAGCAGTGCTTGGTGAGCTCTATGTCTCAGAATGTAGGGCTGTTTGGGGCCAGAAATTGGTCTTCTGCTCTCTGTACTGGTAGTCTCAAACTTTCTTACACATGAGAAGCACATGGTTAAACACACTGTCAGTGACTCTGTGGGACGGGTGGGACCAGGAATCTGTAGGAAGGGAGACTCTAGGGAGGTGGTTCAGAGGCACCCCCTGAGAAGCAATAATGAGGTCCATGTCTGGGGACCCTCCAGCTGAAACAATCCTATGTACTCCACTTAGACAGATCTTCATTATATGAAAAAAAAGTCACTAAAACTTCTATAGAATAATCTGGAAAGGCCAACCTCCCTCTAACTATTCCCCTTAAGTTTTCTTAGGACTTCCACTTTAACACTAACTGGATTAACTCAACCCAAAGACTGTATGTGCATGTGTCCATGGCCAGTCATGGCCGAGTCTTTGTGACCCTGTGGACAGTGGTCTGCCAGGCTCCTCTGTCCATGGAATTCTCCAGGCAAGAATACTGGAGAGGGTTGCCATTTCCTGCTCCGGGGGATCTTCCCGACCCGGGGACGGAACCCACATCTCCTGTGTCTCCTGCGTCAGCAGGCGGATCCTTTACTGCTGAGCCACCAAAGACTATGTGGGGTACCACCAAATGGCTGGAGGTGAGACTGGGGTGTGAGCTCCTGGAGACAGGCGTCACATCTACGTTAACTTGTGCTGTCACAACCTACTGCCAGCAGTCACGTTTAAAAAGTCCTCTGCTTGCAGCACAGAGCAGGGACACACGGACACATTTCCCATGGGAATGGCTGCCCCTTGAAATTGTTGGTTGGGGGAGTCCAGGGTGGGCTTGGGGATGGTGATTTATCAGCTGATAGAGAAGTATGTCACTGTTCAAGAACCAGCGTGGCCGCTCTGTCCCTGCTGGGCGAGCAGCAGACCTCTCCAGACACGCCATAAACGCTCCTCATGTTCTGAACTGAAATCAAGGATGGGCAATGGTCCACTGCAGCCAGCCCGTCAGGGACCGTGGCCCCTGCAGGTAGGGAGGGCCCACCACGCTTCAGGAGCCCTGGAATGGAGCTCTCTTTCCTCCTAGCAAGTTTTCTGAGGGCAAGGATGGTCTATTTAATCTCCCTAGTACAGAGCTGATCAATGACAGGATGCATGGCGTTAACAATGGACAAGTGGGCCTGTGGGCCCTGAAACATTAACGAGTTATGTTCTTGACTTCTGTTGCTCTCCCTCCAGCCTCTGCCCAGGAATCATGAGCGTGCACCGTGTCCTGTCCTCCCACGAGCCACGTGTGCAAGGACTTCTGTGTGTTTTCCTTTGAGCAGCTTTGGACTGAACCGTGTGGGGAACCTGGGGCTCTGCCCTGATAGTTCACTAACGACCCCAAGTCGTGCAGTCATGTAATGGTACCAGGGACAGCCTGCAAAGAGTTTCCCTGGTTGTGGGACTTCTGATCCTGCAGGAAATACCTGAGAAACAGCTCAGGGGTCTCTCTTATCACCGCAGTAAATGCAAATTTAGGGAAAAGGGTGCAATCAGAGAGCCTGCTTCCTCTGTCCAGCCCGCTTCCGCACTTACAAAGTCACGCCACCACACTGGCCCCAGGATAAGGGTGGTAGTGAGTCAGATGTGCCCTTGTGGAGACTGCAGGAGTGTGGCGACCAGACATTCAACAAGTAATCAACCTTCCCATCTATGTACCTACACCAGTGCTGGGTGGGGATGCTGAGAGAGGGCGGGGTGACAAGGGCAGGGTATGGGTGTCAGCACAGCTGGCTGGGGCAGGCTTCCCATGACCGGTGATGCTGGGTGTCTGACGAAGTGCAGGAAGAACATTCTGACAAGGCCTCCCAGTGAGAACAGGTTTGAGGGTCCATAGAAAGGCAGTAAGAGGAGGAGAGCCAGGGACAAGAGAAGCGGAGACTGACAGGCAGGGGGCCTCCTGCATATCTGACCCGTAAAGGTGTCGGCTCGTCCACGGCCCACATTACGGTTCATTACACCAAAGGGATTCTCCTGCACCCAATCATCGCTGCTGCCGTAGAGTCCAGGATTTCTTCTGTAAAAATCCTGGGCCTCTCAACCAAGCTCCATAAAACACGCATCTAGACTTTATGTACGATCGCCTTTCTCTCATTCCCTTGCCAGAGCTTTTCACTCACTTAAGTACTTCTTAAAAGACAACAAAGAGGCGGCTGTAGAAACCTGTAAACCTCAGGAGACACGCGGCCACAGCAGGGAAGAGGAGGGGGGTGAGTCGGGAGCAGCGACGGCGTAGTACCCCGCCACGCGGGAAACAGACACCCGTGGGACGTGGCCTCGCGGCACAGGAAAGTGCCTGGGTGCTCTGTGATGACCGAGAGGGGTGGGATGGGGGATGGACGGGAGGGAGACTCGAGAAGGAGGGGATATATGTATACCTATAGATGATTCACGCTGTGTTACAGCAGGAACTAACACAGAACTGTAAAGCAATTATACCCGAATAATAATTTTTTTAAAAACCTTTAACTCTTTCTCATGTTCCTCTTTCAGAAACTGGATTTGCATTTTGTACATGTCATTTGCTTCTTCGAGGGCTTTCTTCACTGCTTGTCTTTGGCGTTTATCGGCCTTTGAAAGAGAGTTCATTTATTTGTTAATATACATCAGGTTTTCATGTTCAATGAAAATTAGCCCCCACGATGGGCCCCCGCTAACTGGCTCTGTCCCCATCTCAGGCCTCCCACAGCACACTGCTGTCTCAGGCAGAGATGTCCCTAACGCAGCCCTGGCCCCTGGCTAACATTACTGTTTCAGGAGCTGCCCAGGAGAGTGTTACTGCACGCTGCCGGGTGGTCTTTCTTCTTTGGCACTCTATTTCTTGTTGACTAACTAACAAAGTAATGTAGGCTCATCCAAGAAATTACGGAAAACACAGAGAAGTAGAAAAATGCACAAAGTCAGAAATTTGCTGAGAAGGGAGGCTGAGTACCACCCTAGATCCCCTGCGTCAGCTCAGTTCAGTTCAGTCGCTCAGTGGTGTCTGACTCTGGAATCCCATGGACTGCAGCACGCTCCTCCCCGTCCATCACCAATTACTGGAGTCTACTCAAACTCATGTCCATTGAGTCGGTGATGCCATCCAACCGTCTCATTCTCTGCTGTCCCCTTCTCCTCCTGCCTTCAATCTTTCCCAGCATCAGGGTCTTTTCAAATGACTCGGTTCTTTGCATCAGGTGGCCAAAGTATTGGGAGTTTCAGCTTCAGAGTCAGTCCTTCCAATGAACACTCAGGACTGATCTCCTGTAGGATGGACTGGCTGGATCTCCTTGCAGTCCAAGGGACTCTCAAGAGTCTTCTCCAACACCACAGTTCAAAAGCATCAGTTTTTCAGTGCTCAGCTTTCTTTATGGTCCAACTCTCACATCCATACATGACTACTGGGAAAACCATAGCTTTGACTAGATGGACCTCTGTTGGCATAGTAATATCTCTGCTTTTTAATATGCTGTCTAGGTTGGTCATAGCTTTTCTTCCAAGGAGTAAGCGTCTTCTAATTTCATGGCTGCAGTCACCATCTGCAGTGATTCTGGAGCCCCCCAAAAAAGTCTGTCACTGTTTCCACTGTTTCCCCATCTATCTTCCATGAAGTGATGGGACCAGATGCCATGATCTTCGTTTTCTGAATGTTGAGCTTTAAGCCAGCTTTTTCACTCCCCTGTTTCACTTTCCTCAAGAGGCTCTTTAGTTCTTCACTTTCCACCATAAGGGTGGTGTCATCTGCGTATCTGAGGTTACTGATATTTCTCCTGGCAATCTTGATTTCAGCTTGTGCTTCTTCCAGCCCAGCATTTCTCATGATGTACTCTGCATATAAGTTAAATAAGCAGGGTGATCCCTGCATCAGGGTCTCCAGAAAGATGTTTCATTATTTTATTTGAAAAGAATGCCAAAAACATTAGATAAACTTATATTTAAACTGTACATTATTCACAAAAGTATTCCCTTGTATTAGGGAATATAATTAATGGCTCACAGTCAATTTAAATTGTATTATTATTGATAAGGATAAATGACTACTAAGATTTTTATATCTATTACCCTTCATACTGAAGCATTTTGTACTTTTGGGGAATGTTCATACAAAGCTTTTGCTGGAAGTAATACTAGACAGTTCCAATACTCTTTGCTACGATGTCTATATTATAGAGAAACTGAGAAATAACTTCTAAGCACTGTGGCTTATCCTCCTCTCAAGGAGTGTTAATTCTCTTTAGGGAAGTCACATATAGCCTTTTCTTTATTACTGGAAGAAATGGGAGTTGGAGGATGGAAGTTTTGCTTTATTGAAGAGTCTGGGATCTGACCGTGAGTTCCAAGGCACTGAAATTGCTCCCATGACCCTCAGCAGTCACGTGGACAAGGTGTCAAGGACTTTGGAGCAAAGAGGAGCTGGCAGAGAGTTGAAAAAGAGACCCAGCTATGATGCAGTATTTGGAAAAAAAGCCACTTGGGGTATTACACGTGGCACAAATGGATGGTCTACATATTAAAGACTAAGCAATAATAATTATCAACAAGAATGTCTTTTTTTGAAGTTTTAATTCGATGAGAATAAAGGGAACCGGAGTCATCCACACACAGGGGCAACTTAAAAGGATGGACGCTTCTGGTGATTTCTCCTTACTCAGCATCTACATGCGCCGGGCACGTCATTGCACTGAGCTTTCTCAACAGTTCTAGAGAGTATTATTATTCCTCTTTCACATTGGAAGATGCTAGGACTACGGAGCTGAAGAACCTGCCCCACAGATGACCGGCATGCAAAGTCCGCCCTGCCTGACTCTTTGATACAAATCCCCAAAGACAAAGAAGGGCCAAGAGGCACGAGGGCAGAGCTCCGGGTTCCCTCACCTGAGCCCATACGTCGGCTTCTACCTGTGCAATTCGTTCTTTGAGGGCGGCCTCCTGAAACTGCTCTTCCTTATTCAGAACATCTTTCCCAATATCTGTGGAGCGGAAGAGGGAAAAAAATCACATACAGCCGCAGACTGTACCTTGGCTTTCTTTTTTATCACTATCAAGTTATTCACTAGAGTTATCTAAGAAAGAGATCCTTTGGGGGAATTTCAATCTCTAAAGACACAGTGAAAGAGGTAAGTTACTCCCCCAACTGGCTGGGAAGCAGCTCACAGCACAGTGAGACCTGCATGGACTCAGCCCCTCACACAGCCCACACTTCTAGCTGCTGTTCGGTCACTCAAGTCTGATTCTTTGCTGCCCCACGGACTGCAGCTCCCAGAGATGCTCAAACCCATGTCCACCGAGTCAGTGACGCCATCCAGCCATCTCATCGTCTGTCGTCCCCTTCTCCTCCCACCCTTAGTCTTTCCCAGCATCAGGGTCTTTTCCAATGAGTCAGCTCTTCGCATCAGGTGGCCAAAGTATTGGAGTTTCAGCATCAGCCTCAGTCCTTCCAATGAATAGTCAGGATTGATTTCCCTTAGGATGGACTGGTTGGATCTCCTTGCAGTCCAAGGTTCTCTCAAGAGTCTTCTCCAACACCACAGTTCAAAAGCATCAGTTTTTCAGTGCTCAGCCTTCTTTATGATCCAACTCTCACATCCATACATGGCCACTGGAAAAACCATAGCTTTGACTAGATGGAACTCTGTTGGCAAAGTAATGTCTCTGCTTTTTAATACGCTGTCCAGGTTTGCCATAGCTTTCTTTCCAAGGAGCAAACGTCTTTTAATTTCGTGGCTGCAATCACCATCTGCAGTGATTTTGGTGCCCAAGAAAATAAAGTCTGTCACTTTATTTTAGATGAGGAAACAGGGACAGACTTTATTTTCTCCTTCTGGTAACAGGACCCATTTTCCTCAAGAATTTCCTCCCTCACTTGTTCTGGGACTGCCAATCACAGCAGCCAACTGGCTTGGCCCATCACATGCTCCCCTACCTTCCAGGCCCCGTTAAACTGGAGCACAGACTCAAGCCTGGCCAGACACACTCTTTTCCTTATTTTGTATAAGGCTGTTAAGGAGAACAGAGCTCTTTTCCTCTAAGGTTTCTAAGCTGGAGAGACTGAGATGGTTAGAGCAGTTTGGAACCACTCCCACCCCTTTCTCAGTTGCTGGAGGAAGCTTGGCTGCGGCAGTAAATCAACGAAGCCAACGCATGAAAACAGCAAGTGTGGACGAACTGAGAGCCCTGGGCCCAGACCCCTCCTGGTACCACTGTTCCAAGGGTCAAGGAATCCTCTTTGGTAAATATTCTAGTCTGAGCTGTGTTTCTGTCACCTGCAACTGAAGTACACATGAGTTGGCATTAAGAGTCTTTGGTACTAGATTGTCAGTGAGTCTACAAGTATAAAGCAGTGAATACGATGAGGAGGATGGACATATACCACACAGGCCCAACATTGTGTAGAGATAATTACGAAAGATTTAGAAAGAAATAGGACTGAGCATGGACTGGCAAAGTTCTGCACTTGATAAAAATGTGATACAAGTATGGGCTGCTATCATCCTTTTTTACATGTAAGTTCCAGTACTTTGTATTAGTTGTTCTCCACCCTAACTGTACAACAGGATCCCTGCATAGCTTTTCTAAAATGCTGAAAAGAGGAACACACTATTAACATGGAGAATAACTTGGATCTTAAGGCATGCTGAGTGAAAAAAGCTGATTTCAGAGTTACATACTGTATGATTTTATATATATATATATATATATATATATATATATATATATACACAGACACACAGGATATAGAAAGAATATAGTATATTATATGTATATATGTTTTATATATAAAACATTGTCGAAGAGCTGTAATTATAGTGACTGAAGACAGATTAGTGGTTGCCAGGGATTTAAATTATGAGGTGTTAAGAGGTAACATGAGGGAGTTTCTCTGTGGTGAAGAAATATTTCTGTTATGATTGTAGTGATGGTTACATGAATCTACATGTGATAAATTTAATAAAACTACACACCATGGAAAAAAGAATAAATAAGGTCTGCACCTAACTTACCAGTATCGCTCCAACACCAATTTCCTGGTTTTGACAATGTAACAGTGTTATGTAAGGCATCAATGAGAGAACCTGGGTGGGAACTCTGTTCTATTTTTAAAATGTGTCAGTCTTCAACTATTTCCAAATAAAAACCTATGAAATATGTAAAAAATGTTGAAAAAGTTTTTTAAAAGGCCACATGCTGAGGGCCAATTCTGAAGGCTCTAATTTCGTGGGTTTCTGTTGGATGACTACTGTAATAGGGAAGAACAAAGCTGACTCCGTAGTAGATGTTTCCGTTTACTTTAACCTTTGTATTCAATTGCTTTTGCTTAGAGTGAAGAATGTTGCCTATAGCCTGAAATATACAGGGTAGCCAGCTCTCAAGGTTCCGACCTTTAAAGGTATAACACTTTTCCATTCCCGAAGAGCCAAAAAGTTGTAGAGCAGAGAGTAAGATTTGTCTTGCTGGAGGTTTATGGGAACATCATGAACTGACCCAAAATGGACAACTGTAAGAACAAAGAATTCCTGCACCAGGAAGTTTGCAACAACCAACCCACCCCTCCTCCCCTTTTAATATAAAAAATGCCTGCATTCTGAAAGGGGTAAGAAAGTTCTTTGGTACATTAATCTGCCATCTCTGTTTGCTGGCTTTCTGAATAAAGTCGTTCTTCTCTGCCCCAACAACTCATCTCCTGATCTACTGGCCTGTCATGCAGTGAGTAGAATGAATTTGGACTTCGTTAACAGTATTAAATCCAGTGAAGTTTGTGTTTGGATTTAAAAGTTCTGTAGAACGCTTCCAATGTTGAGAACTACCCTCTGCAATACTTATTAGCATTTATACATGTTTTAATTTATCCACTTAATGTCTGGATTCAGATCTACTAGGAGGCATACGGAACCAACCAAGAAAAGCATATCTAAAAATGAATATCCACTGTTCTGGGTGTAAAAAGCCAAATCATTATAGAGATTATAATTAATAAGTCACACTAAACAGTTACTAAAAGTTAGAATCAGTGATCAGTTTTGGGATTGATATTTTTAGAGGATGATCCCAATTTGATCTCCCTCTCATTTTAGTTTTTTTTCAAAACACCCTCCATTCGATGGCTTCTTACAGTTTCAAAGATCAGGAGTAAAATTTAATCACCACTAATTTAACACATTAAAGGAATTCAGGATTTGAGAAGTATTTTGAGAGTACTTAGGAAAAAATTCTAAGGCTTAAAGTCAGACTGAAAACCTGAGAGGAAAAGGAAACCTGTAATTAAAATTTGATTTGCTTATTAGAAGTGCATACATAGGGGAAAGAGATAAATTAGAAATTTGGGGGTAACAGATAATACTACTATATATAAAAGAGATAAACAAAGACTTACTGTATGGCACAGGGAACTATATTCAATATCCTATAATAACCTATAATGGATAATAATCTGAAAGAACATATATACATATATAATTCAATATAAAATATATTGAATACATATTTATATATATATAAAACTGAATCACTTTCCTGTACACTTCAAACAACATAAATCAGCTATACTTAAAATGTTTTTAAATACGAAAGGAGGACTTAAAAGGTAAAAGAAGTATACACATAGTACATATTCTCACGCTATTTATAATCTATTTTATGTCACCAGTACTAATAAAGAACACAGTTTCTTTCATCTGTTTATTAAGGTGTTACTTAGAAATATTTCTCTCCTATGCGTATGGAAAGTGCCCAAGTGTGGGTGAGGGCAAAAAGAACTCCAAGTTACTATTATGTGCCAGGCTTTAGAAGAGGGAGGAACATTTCATTAAAGCCTCAGAAGAAACCTGCAAGAAAAGTATTGTATTAACATCCCTGTTTACATATAAGGAAGCAGGCTGAGAGGCTAAGTATCCTGCCAAGGCACACAGCTGGAAAGCGGAGAAGCAGGATTTCAACCCATACTCTTCTCACGCCGAACAGACACAGGTGAAGGACAGGGAGCTTTGCTGAGAGAGCTGAGTAAAGTCCACACAACAAGAACGACATAACGACATACAGTGCTATGAAGCATGAGGACAAAGAAAAACAGGAAAGTCACTTACCCAGGATATCTTTGTGAGTGTAAAAGCGTGTCTTAAATGGCTTGTATTCATGGATCCGTTTGAAGGTTTCCCCAAAAGGGGCTGGTGGAATTATTTTATTACAAACAGCACAGCAAACAAAGTTTGTATAATTCGGATTCCTGATCATAATTAAAGATGTCTTTTACTATGTACAGTTAAAAAACTCTTAGGATTAGAAAAAGTAGTTTTAAGAAAAGTTCAAGTTTGAGAAAGCAGAAGAGATTCAAGGTTTGAAGACAATGCTAGAGGCTTGTCAGGATTAAATGATTCACCATGATTAGGTAGTGGTTATATGCCTAGGGGTAAAGAATGGTACTGAAAGCCTCTGCCCATAGAAGGTCTGGGTACTGGATTTGGGAAGATTTAAGCAGCTACTCCCTCCTAGAGTCTAGATTAAATTGTCAACATACTTAGCAACTGTTGCTAGGTAAGACAAGCTTTGCTCATAAAAGCAACTAGAAGTAATGACAAAAGGCAGCATGGTACAGCTCTTCATTTCCCAGATACTTTCTGTATGTTTCCTTCTGCTGCTGTAACAAATGACTACATACTTGGTGGCTTAAAACCACACAATTTCATTCCCTTGCAGTTCTGGAGGTCAGAAGTCCACAACGGTGTCGGCAGCACTGGTTTCTCTGGAGGCTTCAGGGAGAATCGGTTTCCTTGCCTTTTCCAGCTTCCAGAGGCCGTTCCCATTCCTTGGTCCGTGGGCTTGCATCAATATAGCCTCTTATCCTCCTGTTTGCAGGGTGACATTGCTTCTTCCTCTCATCATCTGCCTCCCTCTTACAAGCGCTTTTGTGATTATACCAGGCTCACCCAAATAATAAAGGGTCATTTCCCTATTTCAAATCCTGAACTTAATCATATCTGTCTAGTTCCTTCTGCCATGGTTTTTTTTTCCCCAGTCGTGTCTGACTCTTTTTAACCCCCCATGGACTGCAGCACGCCAGGCTACCCTGCACTTCACCATCTCTCTCATGTCCATTGAGTCTATGATACCATCCAACCATCTCATCTTCTGTCACCCCAGTCTCCTCCTGCCCTCAATCTTTCCCAGCATCAGGGTCTTTTCCAATGAGTTTCTTCCAAGGAGCAAGTGTCTTTTAACTTCATGGCTGCAGTCCCCATTTGCAGTGATTTTGAAACCCAAGAAAATAAAGCCTGTCACTCTTTCCATTGTTTCCCCACCTATTTGCCATGAAGTGATGGGACTGGATGCCACGATCTTAGTTTTTTGAATGTTGAGTTTTAAGCCAGCCTTTTCACTCTCTTTCACCTTCACCAAGAAGCTCTTTAGTTCTTCACTTTCTGCCATTAGGGTGGTGTCATCTGCATATGTGAGGTTATTGGTATAACCTTGACCTTTCTGTCATATAATGGAACATATTTACAGGTTCTGGGATTAGGATCCAAAAATCTCTAGGGTGGTGTGGGGAAAGAGGTGTATTATTCAGTCTACCATACTTTCTGTTAAATGGTTTATTTAAAGAATTGATTTTTTAGGCCAGAACAAAAAAAAAAGGAGTTTAATTTTTTTTAGGTTATCTACAATGCTTTTGTGCCAGGGCAATAAAACTGGGAGAACCACACAGTACCTTAAAGCAAAAATTACTTTCCGTAAGCAAGCTCTCAAAATTACTAAGGTTGGCTTTTAAAATCATAGTTAATTCATTTGTTGTCCTTGTTTTAAAATGGAAAGAACTGCATCCCAAGAATCCCCGCCATGCTTAGAAAACTGGGACCGATTGGTTGCCTTACAGAAGATAAGGCTATTAAACAATAAATAACCTCACTGTTCACACTGGGAAATTCTTATCAACTGGACTGCTTGCTCTTCTGGGCAAAGGGCTCTTCTATCAGAAAAGATTACTTCCCTGGGCTAAGAGGTTGCTTGCAGCTTACCGGTAGTTCATTTATCAATACTTGCTTCAAGACAATCTATCATGTTACAGTTTGCCCGATCTCAACCAGATTCCTGCATTGGAAAATATTCCTCCTACCACTTAACTCAGACTCCAACATGCCGTAAACATCTTGCCCTGAGCATCCCCTCCTTACACCACTGACTTTGTCTCATTTTCCTTTAGAGAAGGAAAGAAGACATCTTGCCCTGAGCATCCCCTCCTTAGACCACTGACTTTGTCTCATTTCCCTTTAGAGAAGGAATGAAAACATCCACAGCCAAGCAGTCTTTGACACTGCACATAGAAGACTGTGCTACAGAACTGGTGACAGACCTTTGAACAGTATCACAGTTAGGCTAAAAGTGAAAGAGAAGTCGCTCAGTCCTGTCCCAACTCTTTGCGACACCATGGACTGTACCCTACCAGCCTCCTCTGTTCATGGAATTTTCCAGGCAAGAAGACTGGAGTGGGTTGCCATTTCCTTCTCCAGGGGATCTTCCAGACGCACTGATCAAACCCGGGTCTCCCACATTGTAGGCAGACGCTTTATCCTCTGAGCCACCAGGGAAGTGAGTGAGGTTACTTGTTTCTAAAAGTCAGCGGAATTCTCCCCTTGCACCACTTTTCGCAGCTGGGCACCTTGTGGAATGCACTGCGGCCCTGGCTCACTCACACACAGTCACGGGGTCCAAGGCTGCCGTCTGCCCAGCCCTGCAGCCCTTCTTTGTGCAGTAATCTCCTGATAGCTCACTAATACCTCCCCCACCAAACAGTAACTGCTTTTGTGGGATATTAGAAGAACTCTAATGATGACAATGTGGCATTAAATGCGTAAGCTGAAAACAGAAGAACTCTAGTTCTCTACCAACCAACAGCAAAAGATAAAACTTCAAAGGCATTGTATACCACCTAAGTATATTTAAACTGTATGAAGTGTACTATACAGAGAGACCCTGCAAAGAAATACTTAAGGCTCAGTAATAAAGATTTAATTTAGTTGCATATAGACAACTCAATTAGCTAAGCTCTTCAATATCTACAAATCAGACATAATTACTTTTTCATGTATCTTACAAAACCACCATAAAGCACTGGAAATTAAATCTTATGATTTAATTATGATGATAAACTCTGCCTGTGCAATTATTTTACTTGTTAATAATGAAACAAAATTTCAGAGACAAGATTTATTTACTAAGATGCAATTCCAATGATTTGGAGAATGTGGTAAATATCTAGAAATAAAACACATCTAGAACCTTCATCAGAAAGGTATGAGGTAAACCCCACATACTTACGGTTACTTTAAATCTAGACCTTCTTACCTACTGAGCAGCTCTAGTGTTCAACTAACTATAAGAACATCTGGTCTTACATTTATCATATCATTGTAACATTAAATTACAGTGATAACAATGAAATGAAATAACAATGAAATAACAAATTACAATGAAAACAAAATAGGTAAAATTTAGTTATAGTCAAATAAAAACATCATACTCAGTATACCATACTGTCTGTTTTTTTGGATTTTTTTTTTAAAGAAAAACTCCAATTACTCTGGGTTATTCTTTCATTTAATCTTTATTTTAGTAATTGAGTGGGAGTATTTTTTCAACTAAAATAAAAATCTGGACCAAAATTAGCTGAAATGGAAAACTGAAATATATGACCCATCTGTAACTCTATAAAAACTGTTTTTAACTGCAGGCTTTACAATAATTTATAATCATTTTCTTCTTCACCAGGTAGAAAGAGAACACTGCCTTTGCAAATAGCAAAACTAAACCTTCACAACAGCTGTAAATGTACATTCCCCTTAAAATATTAACAATACCACACAAATTTAAGAGCAGCAGTACTTTTATTGGACAGAACTTTACAATTTACAAAAATGACTTCCATTCTCATAGCACTTTTTAAAAGAGGATTTAACAAAATTAAAATACCGAACAGCTCTTTCTATGGAAAAAAGAATGCGACACTGGCTCCATTTTGAAAGGACAACATTCACTCCAGGGGTTTGGCTGCAATCGCCCTCCTCTTTCTCAGAAGCATCTTCTGGAATAAGAAACAAGACACTGTGCGGTCCTAATCTTCAGCCGAAGATTTCAGAGCCCCCAGTAAACCTTCATCTGCAGCAACCAGCTCAATTAATCCCATTTAGATGTTTTCCGCCTCATATAACTGTGTCCCTCACTATCAATAGCTTCATAGAGGTTCTTCTTATTTTCCTGTGTCGCATGTAGGTAACCGATATAAGCCACGCAAAGCGAAAGGGTTATCAATCCGAAAGCCATTACAGGTTTGTTCTGTCAAAGGAAAAAAAAAAAACCACAAGGTCTCAATAAGACCAATCATTTGAGGAGACTCAAATATCTCCTGCAGTTTCCGCTTGTCATGCCAAGGCTTGAGTACCACACCAGCATTCCTAGGGTAAAATTTCATTTCTAGTATTTATCCATTTCTTTACTCGGTTAACTCCGCTCCTGCTAACTCAGAGACTACGGAAGATGCCTCCTCCTCTTCACAGCTGGGACATCTCCAACCCTCACCTTTAGGAAGGAAATTGGCTCAGTTTTCAGTTACCTATGTTGTGAAAAAGTTGCTTGACTTCTTTGGACCCAAGCTTCCCATCTGCAAACCTTAAACTAGTTATTTTTATTAAGAAGCGAGGAATGAAGTCTGCATGCTATTCTTGTCACCCAGGATCATGAAAAAACTGGCAGAAAGCCTTTCGTGTTATATACCAGGGACAGCAAAACACACACCCCCTTCTCTGGGAACTTATTCTATTACCTCAAGAAACACAGTCACAGAACAGACATGCTGTTACAATAACTCTGACTTGCTCTGTAAAATCCAAGACCCTAAGAGGCAAAGGGATGCTACTTTGATTTTTCTTTTTTGTCACACCACACAGGTTTTTGGATTTTAGTTCCCCAGCCAGGGGTTGAACGTGGGCCCTTGGCAGTGAGAGGGCAGAGTCCTAACCGGATAGCTAGGGAATTCCTGCATTTTTTAAATAAAAGCTTTTAAATTCTGTATTTTCTGCTTTTGTCATCATTTCTGCTTCTGTTTCATTACTATTCTTAATCATCAAAAAAAATTAAGGTCAAACTTTTTCAGTGGGATGGACATCTGAGAAAGGCTACATGCTCAGAGTAGCTTACTTTTGCAGTTCTTGAAATGTACTTGGCAAGTAAAAAAACATATTAGTTCAAAGTTTTTAAAACTTTCTACCTTGATTTAATTATTTGATTGCTAAATTGACCTATTTAACTTTCCAACAGTTTATACTGGTAACTATGTTATTAAAATTCTAGTAAAATTCAAACATTTAAGTACATTTTATGACTTGATTTGCATTTTTCAAAAAATAAAACTTAACAAATCAAATGTATTCAGTAACTTGCTACAAAATTTATGATTAGCTAACTCCCTAACAGTGTATAAATGCATGTTTTCAAATTTTTCAATATATGTTTGCAAAATCTCCTATGTTAAAATATTATTAATAAGCCTGGAATTGTAGACTGATCAGATTTTCATTCTGTTTTCTTTGTTTCAATGGAAGGTCTTATTTACTTACTAGTACCTGATCAAACAAGTTTCCTTAAAATCAATACACCTATTAAAATTTTAAACAGGAATTTGACCAGTTGATTCATTAAAATTCAACTATTTACCATTTAAATTCTCAAACACCATCAAAATAATTAGTTTTATATGTGTATCTAGTGAAACAGCATTTAAGATTTTCCTTCCATCTGCTTCTTATCCACAGAGAAGTCTTACTAGTTAACATCAAATTTCCATGATAAAATCAAATGTTACAGGAAAATTAGAACTTTCTATTGCCGAAAGCCTAGGTTAATTGAACATAAAGTCTTATCCTAGATGTATTTCTTACAGGTTTAATGAAGAGCTCTGGATTCACAGCTCGAAATAAGGTTGTGGTGCGGACCCCTCTGAGTCCTACGTTTCCTGGGTCTTTCTCCTTGGGCGGCTCCTTTTTAAAGGCTGGAGGCTCGGGTGCTGAAGACATCTTGACTAACGATGATTTAATACCTAAAAATAAAATAAGAGACTTTTTTTCCCTTCAAAGTTATGTTTTTCTGATAATGCTCTTAAAAAAATCATTCTATATTCAGTCTTTTTTCAAATTCCAGTCTAGATATATACCAAAAGTGATGGTCAATTCTTTTATTACTTTATATAACACGTACTTTGGCCTTTAGGTTTTGTTTGTTAAAATGGTTATTTTATTTTTCATTTCGTGGAACCAGTGAGGTAAGCAAAAGTCGTTTCCCTACTTTGCAGGAGCCTACAGAATTTGTTTGTTGGTATGAGTCACGCTCTGTCTTGCTATATGAAGGGGGTACTACGGGTAGGAGTGGCCGGTGGGTTGTCCACACCTTCTTAATTTCCTTCCATTTTCACCATTGCTGACCTTCCACAGCCCTTTCAGGACACCGACCTAAGAAGCGTGAGCGTTCTTTTGCTCCGTTCCTCCTACAGATCGACTCCTCCCCCGCCTCCCCTTCCCACCGCTCGGCCTCCCTCCCCTGGGCCACCCAGGAAGGGGGAGCAGCTGTTTCCTCACTCTGTCGCCCGCTCTCTGGCAACAAACACCATGCCACCTCCTTAACTGGAAATCCTTTTTCTCTTAATGACTCAGAATCTATCCTGATAGATCCAAGTATGTCTTTTGGCTTCTGGCTCTCCCTGCCACAATGTCAATACTTTTGTGAATATTTTTTTCTTCTACATGCTACTGGGCAAAAGGTTATTCTTACCAATCCTGCCACCAAATGCTGGTGGGGTGGGTGGGGGGAACTTTGGAAGGGAAAAAACAGGGAAAGAAGCCTTCCAAAGAGTGGCTGAGATTCATGACAACATAATAAAATTCTTTGGGGGAAATGCTGGACCCTCAGTAAACGTTATGAAATGAGACTCAAACACTCACATTTAAACACTTGTTGGGGCTTTGTTTATTCAAGTATTGAGTTTTCCATTTTACAGTCTTTATAAGAGCAATATTTTTGCAACTTTATTATTTATGGAGAAGCTTTTAGGAGTTCAGTTTTTTCAAAACTGTCTTTGAAAAAGATTAGTCAATGAGAAAACTCAACACATGTAATCCAAGCACAGAAGTGTGTTGGGCAGAGCAGGTGTCCATCAGCAAGAGGGTCTTGCTTTTCACTCCTTTCATCCTTTTGCCAACCATTCTCAGTTATTCATCAAATAAACCTCATGTTCTTTGGACATGTATACTGGCTTCATCTTCACTAGGGAGCAAATGAACATCTCTGAAGCCCTGGGTGTTAACTGACTTGCTAATGACACGTGCTCTCATCTCTTCCGACCACAATGCATCACAGCAGAATAGAACGAACATCAACCTCCATTTACCTCTTCTTCGAAGCCCACCTTGGACGTGAATCACATGAGGTAACAACTCATAAAACACTCAGTTCAACAGCATTTAAAACATCATTCAAGTGGTAACTAGCAATTTTTTTAAAAATTTCAACAGCATTCAAGTTACTAATTTTCTCTATTGGAACAGTGATTTTTTTTCCACTACAGACAACTTCTGAAACAATTCCATGATATGCCTGAAATCTGTTCAGCCATCACATGTGTCCAACACATCATGCCCAAGGTTACCAAAAAACTCCAATGTTTTCTGCTGAACCAGGGGTCCACTCACATGCACATTTCTTAGGTGAATTTCTTGAAACTGTAAACTGAAGAAAAATGCACAAACTTAAAGTTGCAAGATAATTTTTATTTGGGGATCTTATTGAGGTCTATCACCCAGGAGGCAGCCTCTCAGCTATATATATGTTGTATTTGCACAGGATTCTCTCTTTCCTTAGCTGAACCTATATTTACTTTGTAATGAAACAAGTAAATAAGCAATCAAGGTAGTATTTATTATACTGTAACCTCTAGACACCCACATTCCATTTACATCAAACTGTTCATGTTAAACTCTTTGCCAGAAATGACAATTAAAGAATACATAGGCTGGAAACTACTGCAAATGTTTACTGAAAGGGACTTTTACAAATTAAAGGGCTTCCCTGGTAGCTCAGATGGTAAAGAATCCACCTGCAATGCAGGAAACCCCGGTTCAATTTCTGGGTCAAGAAGATCTACTGGAGAAGGGATAGGCTACCCATTCCAGTACTCTTGGCCTGGAGAATTCCATGGACTGGATAGTCCATGGGGTCACAAAGGGTCGGACATGACTGAGCGACTTTCACTTTTACAAATTAAAGAATTACCTACCACGCTATACTTTAAAAGATTTAATACACCACGATTTTCATTGTTCTTGATACTTTTAGGAACACATGAGAGTCTTGGGCGTAGTTGCTCAGTCATGTCCGGCTCTTTGTAGCCTCACGGACTGTAGTCCGCAGGCTCCTCTGTCCACGGAGAGTATTCAGGGAAGAACACTGGAGTGGGTTGCCATGCCGTACTCCGGGGGGTCTCCCACGTTGCAAGCAGACTCTTTACTGTCTGAGCCCCCAGGGGAGCCCAAGAACACTGGAGTGGGGAGCCTGTCCCTTCTCCAGGGGGTCTTCCCGACCCAGGAATCAAACCGGGGTCTCCTGCATTGCAGGCGGATTTTTTTACCAGTTGAGCTACCAGGGAAGCCCAATGAAAGTACTGCTTTCTATCATATATCATTCTTCTACTCGGCCTGGTATAAGACAGCTCAGTACTGTTGCTGCTTCTCTTTGTATGCGCCATAGTCACCGCAGATGCTCCAACAGTTCTCCCCAAAGTTCATGAGCTTGTTTATACCACTCATGGAACTAACAAAATGTTAACAACCTTCTATTCTTGCCTGGAGAATCCCCAAGGATGGGGGAGCCTGGCGGGCTACAGCCATGGGGTCACAAAGAGTCGGAACTGACTGGGTGACTAAGCGCGCACACACACACATCTTACATTTATGAAAATAATTACACCAATATTATTTTACTTAAATATAAAACTTTATATATTTATTATTAGGACTGGCCAATGCATTTCTATTACAGTATGACAGAATACTCCCTAAATATGACAAATCTTTGATGTGGAAATTATTTTAGAATCTTACACTTTAGAACTACTGACTTTAATTCATGTATGAGTGTGGAGCAGGACCATAATGAAAACAGCGCCGAAGAATTGATGCTTTTGAACTGTGGTCTTGGAGAAGACTCTTGAGAGTCCCTGGGACTACAAGGAGATCAAACCAGACAATCTTAAAAGGAAATCAGTCCTGAATATTCATTGGAAGGACTGATGCTGAAGCTGAAGCTCCAATACTTTGGCCACCTGATGCGAAGAGCTGACTCACTGGAAATGACCCTAACGCTGGGAGATTGAAGGCAGGAGGAGAAGGGGACGACAGAGGATGAGATGGTTGGATGGCATAACCGATTCAATGGACATGAGTTTGAGCAAGCTCTGGGAGATGGTGATGGACAGGGAGGCCTGGCGTGCTGCAGTCCATGGGGTCGCAGAGAGTCAGACACGATTAAGTGACTGAACTGAATGACTCACTGATACTTTAAATAAAAAGAGACAGATTACTGAGGCCAAAAAGACTTATTAGGTAAGAATTTGTAATAAGAACAGAACCTAATGAGACTTCTCATGTAAGAGAATGTCCTTTTATACCTCCTCACACACCCGGCCCAGAGCTGTAGGAATATGACTGTGAAAGACATGCAAGATGTGGTGGTTGAATAAGTACATAAAATGCAAAACCTTAGTTGTTTCTTCACAGGTGTGTTAATCAGAGCTGATATAAGTTCTAATTTTAAAAGCTACAGAACTAATCATAAATTCAAAGCACAGCAACAACCTATTCCAACACTGAGTGGACAGTACCTCAAAACAGTTACCATCTGACACATATCCATTAGAGCTTCTAAGTCTCCCCATCACTTTCTCCGTTTTTCTCTTACTCTCTTTTCCCCACTGCAAGGCACGAGGTAAATCACACTTACTTATTTGCATATGATACTGATTAATCTCTAGATATACTTACTTTCAAGATGAGTTTGTTTTTAAGCCAGGACCCACATCTATTGTGTTATAAAGGGGACTCTTCCTCCCGTGTGCGCACACGCATGCATGCACATACACACACACACACAATCACACACTAGCAGGGATGATAGGAACTTGACGCACTGCTGCGGGCTAATTTGTTGATTAATTTCTATGCCAGGTGACCTCTAAAACACTCAATAAGTTAGGTATCCCAGGGGCCACTCCTGGCTGTGCAATCTGTCCAGGTGCCCTGTTCTTATTTCGTTTTTTTCCATCACACATTTCTTGTTTCCTTAAATAAGAAACTGTGTACATAATTTTAATAGAAGAGACCTGCATTTTTCATCAGTTCAGTTGCTCAGTCATGTCCAACTCTTTGCGACCCCATGAAAGTAGCACACCAGGCCTCCCTGTCCATCGCCAACTCCCAGAGTTTACTCAAACTCATGTCTATCAAGTCGGTGATGACACCCAGCCATCTCATCCTCTGTCAGCCCCTTCTCCTCCTGACCCCAATCCCTCCCAACATCAGGCTCTTTTCCAATGAGTCAACTCTTCGCATCAGGTGGCCAAAGTATTGGAATTCCAGCTTCAACATCAGTCCTTCCAATGAACACCCAGGACTGGTCTCCTTTAGGATGGACTGGCTGGATCTCCTTGCAGTCCAAGGGACTCTCAAGAGTCTTCTCCAACACCACAGTTCAAAAGCATCAATGCTTTGGTGCTCAGCTTTCTTCACAGTCCAACTCTCACATCCATACATGACCACTGGAAAACCACAGCCTTGACTAGACGGACCTTTGTTGACAAAGTAATGTCTCTGCTTTTTAATATGCTATCTAGGTTGGTCATAGCTTTTCTTCCAAGAAGTAAGCGTCTTTTAATTTCATGGCTGCAGTCACCATCTGCAGTGATTTTGGAGCCCCCCAAAATAAAGTCTGACATTGTTTCCACTGTTTCCCCATCTACTTGCCATGAAGT